ATCATATTACCACAACGATAAACGATGTTATAAAAGAAATTGAATATACAGACGAGTTATGGATTCATTCCTATCATTATTCAAACATTAATATTAAAAAAAGAAAGAGACAATTCATATGAGATACATTATTATACATGAGTAATCTTTAAAGATAAATTACATAACGCTACGACAGATAAATTATGGCTGCTCTAATCGCTAGTAACTCTGCCTGAAAAACTGAGTTAAAAGTACCCAGTTCTTTGCCATGTAGTAACTCTATTGTTCGATATAACAGAAGCCACTGCCTGTTCCCTCTAGGGATTTAGAACCGTCTGTATACATTCCATCTGCACTATTGAGATCATTTGGTTCATAAAGACAGCTTCACTGCAAAGCACCAGAGTAAAGCTCCCGACTCTGCTCGGTCGTTCTCGGAACTCCACGTACTCTCGAGACTCTCCACGCTACAACTCGGGATACACTCGACGACACGCAGAGCACAGCTCCCGAATCCTCAGTTCAGTCGTTCCCAGAATTCAACACACTCTCTTGACGATGCACTAAGCATGATAGACTACGAGACTCTTTCGGTGCACTCGAAGACCCAATCGGCACTTGCTGCTCGGCTGTCAACACGATCGAATCCGCACGGACTGACTAGCTCGAGATACTAATTTATGACGACTATCGCTCGCAGACGTGGCACACCACTGATGTGAGCAGCTGGTTTATGTAGCTTTCGGCTTGCGTCGAAACATGGGGCTAAACGGTAGAATTCGTCCAGAAGGTTTCAATCGTCAGGCATTCGCCAATTTTGTCGCAAATATAGCCAAATGGGCGATTTCTCACCAAATATAGCAACCCTGCATTCCCTTGCCATTTTATGGCAACCCTTAACCTGCTTTGCGGGGAAGCTATCTCACCGCGCCTGTACATTTCGTAACAATATTATACGGTTTTATGGCATGCCAAACTTAAAAGTATTCTACTAGCAATAGTTCTAGTATAATTGGCAAAGAAAATTTGTTTACATTGTTCTGAAACATTTAATTCTGATATCATACATGGACTTTATGCAATAAATTAACTGAATTTAATTGCTTAGTAAATACATTTATTGAATTTAATTGCTTTTTAATCACGTATTTACACTTTTAAAATTAAGTTAGTTGTGAATGAACAAAAAAATTTTAATTTTACGTAATTCATAGATTCATTAGAATATTTGAAGCACGGAACGTGAATACCCTAGCGGGAATTCGAACCTGGACCTCTATAACAGTCGCTGGGTGTTTTATCGTTACACAACAAAGGCAGGCTGGAAGGAGGGGGAAAATATCTTATAAATTTAACGGTACATAATAATAATTCAGGATTATTTACACATGATTTTGCTGCATTCAAATAGAAATCTTTGTTTTATTCTCAATTTTATTTTTGTACAAATCAGTTATTTAGTTATATTTAAGAATGAAAATAAATTCAGTTTTATGGTATTTTTATGGGAAATATTTGAAAATAGTTGTCTAATAACTTTATGCTTAAAGAAGACTATATTACAGTATTTACAAATGCATGAACAGCTAAAGAAAAATTCACATGGGTAAAAAAGTGGCCGAATAACTATTCCGGAATACATATATTAATTCTTGAAATTAGAGTCAAATAAAATCCAATTTAGATTTTTTCTATAATATGAAAAATTGCGCTACAAAATTGATTTGCAGTTCCTAAGATTCAGGCTGTCGAAACTACTATGCTGGAAACAATTTTCGCAACAATCAATCAAATCAGCCAGTTTTCGTCTTTGTTTGTAGAAGAGCAGCGAAAAACTTTTTGTCCTATTTGTTTCTTGTGCGATATAAATGGAAGATCGGTTTTTCTTAATTGACTTTTCTCAAGAATTCTACGAAGAGACGTTGATGGATGGTTTTTGTACTTCTAGTCTCAAGAATTAAGACTGGTGACTGCTTGGAGAACCACATATCCATACATCAGTTTTAACATACAAAAACAATTAGGCAGTCGCCGTATATGACTGTCAAAATGATTAAAGGAGCGGTAGAAATTTTGAGGAAAACTAGAAGAAGGTAAAACATTTTTGGGATGAAGACTCGTTAATACAAGAAAACATTTAAAAGAGATAGAGAAAACTGAAGAATGTTTTTTCTTGGTATGAAAACGTAATATAACGTGTACTTACATTAAGACATTTATCATACCGTACGACTAGCTTCTGATATCTGTCTTCATAGAAATCTGTAGTCTAATTTGATAACCATTTCTGGTACCCAGTGTGAGTTTGGCTTCCGATAATTTAAACGTTCTCTAGCAGTTTCATGAAAATTACATCTTGAAACGCTAGGAAATAATGATGAACTCGTAGAACGTCTGTTATCTCTAATTTTATCATAAACACTGATATTGTGACATAACATTTAAATTACAGGTCGTTGTGCTCTTTCTGGGAACTAAAAATTGTTATCAAATCAGGCGGCAGGTTTCTAAGAAAAAGGTATTCGGAGGATAGCCGTACGATGCTATAATTAAACGTAATTCCACGTAAGATGCTATAATTCCACGTACGATGCTACAATTCCACGTAATTCCACGTACGTTAAGTGCAAACTAGATTTTAAATTGGATTACGGCTGAGAATTTCATGTAACAATAAAGATGTTAGAAAATAACTGACCATCTGTTTGTGCAGTATCAAGCTACTTACCTCAAAAACGTGCCTCCTGTTTTGAGACACAAGCAAATACCATAAATCACCGTAAGTCCAAAATTAGACAAAATTTATATTATTAAGACGTGTGCGCGTCTGTTTGCTTGCAACATCATCTTCTCCGGAACGGCGGGGATTTGAGTTTCCAGAGAGAGGCACCCCCAGATTCGAAAAATTTGTGGGAAGCCATTTCGAGCCATCAGCCGAGATATTAATTAAAAACTCTGAAAACGCTAATTTTCGCACTCATTTTCCGAGTAGCAACAGACGCATGCGCTGGAGATAAAAATGCCTTGTTTCGAAAAATGATGTCACTGATCTCTTGTAAATCGTTTGAGTTTGTTAATCAAAAATTTGCAAGTTTTAAAAGATGAGAAATAAAATTAGCAGTGCCAAATATTAAACATATTATTATTATATACAGACATTCTGGCGTTGCAGAAAGCCTGCGATTTCATGTAACATCATTGTATGCCGAAAATATTTCGTTAATGTCAGTATTTTAAATAAATAGCTGCTGTTGGCAACCTTTTTTGTTTCCGGTTAAATGGCACGATACATAATTATATACATAAATGATAAATAAATGTTAAATGACACAATACATAATTCCCATGTTAATTGTTTATTAAAATTGAAACAAAAGTTGTTATATTACATGAAATTTAACTCATGACGCCATACGTATGCAACTGAAGTGTCAGTTTGGAAACAAAAAAAAAAAATATTTACGAATTGGTTGTTGATTGGAAAGAATGAACTAATTATATTCAATCTGGAATGTTTTTATGCATTTTATTCTCATGTGTACATAGAAAATAATTTTTTTTGGCCGCAGCCCGGTAATCTGACGAATTAATTAGTATATGCCAGCTAGTATAAAATAAAAAGCAATGTGCAAAACGCATTAAATAAATAAATGCATAGAAAACAAAGTGCAAAATAATGCACACGAAAATTTACGCAAATTTTAAAACATAATTATTACTCGAGTGACTCTTTCTAAATAAGTGTACAGCCATTAATTTAACCAGCTTTGTGATAGAATGATTTCATTAAACATATTTTCATACCGTTTTCATATTATTTGCATTTTAATTTAGCTCATTTCAGAAATTTTGATCATATATGCTTCAAATGTGGTGTAATTACAATACAAACCATTAAAATATAGACATAGAAACCCTAAAGAAGGAGAATAAATGTATAAAAATTCAAAGTTGAGGCATGTTACATATTTTTCTGAGAAATGTAAGGGAGATACTCTTTGGATTTAATTGGAGTTTCAATTATGGAAACAGAAAACGTTTTCCATGCTCTAGTAGCACCGCATCAGCCGTTATGAAGCGATTTCCAATCTATTCATATTTATGGCAGATTGGTAATCCGTAAACCGTTGGTGATATCAGACATAAATCTGTCAAGCGATGACAGTGGTGCAGAGCTCACGAAGGTAGAGTCCCACTTCAATAATAATATATCATTTGGTCTGTTGAATTTGCGTTCACTCTATCTCAGACAATCGGGGATGTTTGTGTCTGGAGAAAGTCCAGAGAAGTCTTTACACCTCCCTGAATCTTTCCAGTTAAATGTAAAACATGGAGGTGGTTCAGTGTTAGAATGGGGTGCGATATCTTGACTGGGTCTTGGCCTAGTTGTTAACCTGCATATAGTTCATAGTCGTGTTCTATAGTCGACATCAACGTGCTTGTCTTTATTGCACTTATCTTGGGCTTTGAGTGAATTTGGTGGCTTATAAGAAAAGTGTCTAACACTGTATTTTAGTCTACAGTTAAGTAGATAGCCTTTATAAGTATTCCAAAAAGTTCCACAATTATAATGAAGATAAAAAAGGCCTATTTTTATGAAGGCCTGTTTTCCTAGACAGGTAGTCCTCGTTTTTCTTTCTTTTTTTTCTGTAGATAAATTACCAGAGAACTACTTAGTACTATACTTCATTTGCAGTAATCTTGGTTTGTCATTATTGGAAAAATTGCAAATTTTTTTGGTGTTGATTTAAACATCTACGAGTGATAATTTTTTTAAAAAGAAAATAAGCGTTTTCATTTGAAATCAGCAGCAATGTAAAATGAAATGTTACCTATTATTACTAATGTAGCTAGTTTATATTCATTGTACTAAATTTTCTTTAGTAGTACTTCGAAAATTGAGTAACACCAATTTGTTATTTTCAAAGTTTGTATTCAAAGTAACTAATCAAGAGAAAATGCGAGATCAAGAGAAATCTCTCATTAAAAATAAAAACAGTAAAATTTGATCAATTTTTTTAAACTTTAATTCAGATCTAGATATATAATGAAAATTAAGGCTGGCAATTAGTTATAATATATTTCTTATGATAGCCTCCAGTCTGTCGATGCAGAAGTACGATATTTACTTACTGAGCATGCGTATCACAATCCTTCTTGACTGAATTCTTGCTCTTTGTCCATCAGTTCTGTTTTGACTGACCGTTTCTGCTCGATGCATGTTTCTTGCTCTATGTAGAGTTATGGAGATTCTGAAGTACAGAACAGATATCAAGGTCATAGGTACCACGAAAAACAGGAAAGTAGAGCACAGCATAAGGGTTTCCCATTCTCTGTTTGGATCGTTGAAAGGAAATCCGCACCATGCCGATTCGAGTAGTGGTTCTTCATCTGGACCCAACTAAAAAAAGGCACACAAACCGTTATTTCTTTTATCAGAAAAATGTAAGTGATGTGTAATAAAATTTAAGTAATATCATTTCACAAAATTGCAAATAGTTTTCCAGCTGCTATTTAAAAAAGATATGTTTTCATATAGTAAGCTTTTGTTTCAAACATATGAAACAATTAATGAACTAAAAGTAGAAAAATAATTTATCATATGGTTTAAAGTTTAATGAGAGCAGGATATTAAGTAATTCTCTTTAGAAAATTTATCTACCAATTTATATCACGAATTTTTCAAGGACACGTGGGGAGTCCTTGAAAAATTTATACAGCTACTAGCTTGCATTTTTTAACAATACAATTCGAATACTACATTTTGTAAAAACACATGTTTTTATTATTCATGACATAAAATGGTAGGCGAATTTTACAAAAAGAATTATTTAATCTCCTGTTCCCATTAAGGCATGTGATAAAATATTTTTTCCTGTTTAGTCATTAATGATTTTAAAAGCTTGAAAATAGAAATTGATTTTATGTAAACTTATTAATTTTTTAAATTCACTTCTTGTGGCCACAGTTACATGCTATAAAACAAATTATTAAATCGAAAAATCTTTTTTAACAATGGATAATCACTGTTTTACTTCCAACAATTCCGTTCTGTGAAATGAGAACACAAATCAGCGATTTTTAAAAAAAAAAAAAAAAAAAAAAAAAAAAGAAATTGTTTTAAAATCTTATATAATTTTTTTAAAAAGATTTTTCTCTGCTCTGTCCGATATCGAAAACAATAAGTTTCTGAGATTGTTTTGTTTCATAAACGAAAATACGTGAAAATTATTGTTTCAGTACAAAATTAAAAAAAAAATTAACACAAATTTTGACATCAGAAAAATTTTGGAAAATTACCTAATCAACGTCACATCAGAAATTTACTGTTTTCACCATCAGATACAGCAGAAGATAATCTTTCATAAGAACGTTTTATCAAATTGCTAACGCCATTCTGATTTCTTTTTTGTAAGACGAGGGGTCTTTTTGTCTTTCACGGTACAGACGGTTCATGGTAAGTTGAGTTGGAAGGAGAAACGGGGATAGAACAGTTAAGGAAATTTAAGTACAAAAATACTAATTAATATTTTTGCTTAATTGGATATTAAGCAGTAAAGTGGCCATAGAAAACAGAAACAATAGAAATGAAAATAACTAAAACCTGCAAACTATTCTGCTACATGGAGTCTTGAAAAGAATTAGCCTGATTAATAAAAGGATTTATCTACCAGAGAAAATAACTAATTACAATTTAATAAAAATATACAGAGTTGCCCATCTGCAATTAATCTTTGCATTAATTAATGCTTCATTCGTAACTTTAAAGAAGGTATTTAATGCAATGTTTTTTCAAGTTTCAAATTAATAACATGTTTTGGAGTAGCATTATCTTGAAGTGGGAAAAGAAGTACATGTATTTCATTTTTAAATCAAATATGTCTACACAGATATCTAGAAAAGCACTACTCCACCTCAGAAGCTACACGCAGCATTGGCAACCTTCCGTTCCTGCCCATTTCTTCATTTAAGCCGCAAAATAGGCAGTTTGGCTGCTAAAATTACTAGTACGATAGAGATGGCTTGCCAAGCGATTGTGACCAGTTCCAAACCACAGCTACTCCTGTGGTTTGTCTGGTAATTTCTTCTCTAAGATGCCTCTGCAGCTCTTGGTTGAGATACCCGTCATAAGTTGACTTATTTTTTTTTTCCTTCAAAAAATTTTCATTAATTTTTTCATTAATTTTTTTTTTGTTTCAAAAATTTACTAACGTATAATTTTTCAAAATGGTCAAAACAATTTGTAGATATCTTTTAAACAATTTCTGTAACGTTTTTGCAAGTTTGTCTGCCTGGTCGTTAACGCAATGGTCGAGAATCCATTGTAGTACAATCTCTTTACCCTCTTGTCTCAGTTTCTTTAAACAATTGATATTCAAGGATTTCCTTTGAGATTGGACAGGCTTCTGATCGAATAGCCTGTACTGACGCCCTGGAGTCATTTTGTAATAGCTGAAATCTGGGGCACTAATTTCTCTGAGGGTCACAAAAATTGCCATTACCTCGCCATCAAAAGCAATTTTCCGCGTATCCACGGGTAAGAACGAAAACTGGGCGGAAACAATTCTTGCATAGGTATTTAGTGAACTCTCAGTAAATAAATCGTTAGTACAGATGTGAAACTAGTCCGGTTTAGGATAAAGTGTAGTGTAGTTTCAAGGGCCAACATTTTTAAGGAACCTTAAAATGTTTGCTTTTTGAAACTATATTGAATGATATTTAAGTTGATATTCCTCCAAAAGAGTCCAAAAATCTATGAGGTTTCAGAAAAGTCTAAAACGTCTCATTTTCCAGTTAAATATGGACCTAAGTTTTATCAATTTCTGGAGGAATCTCTCTAGGGTTTTAAGATCCTGTTGTGATTTCCGTTAAAATTACAAGAAAAAGGGATCCCAATTTTCATTAATTTCTCAAAACACAGCATGGCTTTCTCTTCGATAATAAATCTAATGGGTCTGTTGCTTGTAAAAAGGAGCACTGCATCTATAGGTGTAGTATTTATCACTTCAATAATTAGTTTTAGGGCCTGGTTTTGAAACATTTCCAATTTTTCCATTAACGTTCATGCATCTGCGACCAAAACATTCCAGAAGTAGCAAAACACTGGTAAAATAAATGCTTCGTAAGTTTGATTTAATTTTAACAGGGAACAACCTCAGAGACAGCCGGCAAAACATTTTCAAATTTTCAATCTTTTTCAATTCTCTCAGCTAAAGATTCTATCTGAAGCCGCCAGCTCAGTTTATTATGGAATACCACTCCTAAGTAGGTACATTTATCACTGTTAGTCAAACGAGACCCTCGATTAGAAGATCTCAGAGATAATATTTCGGAGTAGAAGGAGAAGGCCTAGACTATTGTTTTTGTTAAATTTACCAACATATTTTCCTTACATCATCTCTCCAAATTCACAAGTGTTTCAATTAGTTTCTTCGTACAGATATTTTATTTGGGTAAATTTGGTAGATAATCGTTATAGTAATAATTTTTTTAGAAATACTAGGATGCCATTTAAACGGTAAAGAAGTGGAAAAGTCTCCTTTTGTCAAATAACGTAATCCTCTGGCAGTCAATAATGCTTACGTAAAGAACGTCTTTTTGTTTTGGTTATTGCTAGTTTGTTGAGCTTTATGCATTTTAAGTATTTTTTATTACTAAGAGTGATTATACCATCGATATAGTATATGAAGGTAAAACTAAATTTGATTTTAATGCAGTCTTCGCTATTTTGCACAAATTCAAATTTCTTAGTAAATAAATATATAAGTTAAAAATGCTGATGGAAAATTGGTTCTCATAGAAACTTCATTAATTTTTTTAAATAAATTGTAGGCTTGTTAATATTGCTGTGAAATAGAGTGCATCGGAGAAACTTAATCCATTTATCTGTGTCTAGAATTTGTTGAACATCAAAAATGCTATCACAGTGGTTCTCAACCTTTCTTTCCCACAAACCCCCTTTCTCCATTGTTGACTATCATTCTCCCCATCCGTTACAAAATTCAAAGAAATATACAAGTATTTAAATGTAGGTAATTTTTAATATGCTTTATAAAGTAAACAAGAAAAATAGTAGAAGATGTTGCTATATGCCAAAACTTCAATAAGAGTAGCTATTCATATTCATAAACTAAATACTTGACAGGTAAATAAAATGCTGGCTGCTTTCGTCCCTGAAACTATGAAATTCCTTCAGGGCGGAATTATTCACTATTTAAATAGCTTTGAGCTATTGGTTAATTTAATAAAGCTATGGAAAATTTCCATTAAAAGTAATGTGGTATGAAGATTTTCAAAGTGAAAACAGAGTATCTCCATCGTGGAATTCTTTTCAACATTATTAATAAACATTTGGTTAGTATAAATAACCCATTAGAAGTGCTTAATCTTTAATAAGCTAATATCTTTTTTTAAGTTTATGTGTACGTATTAATGCCATTTTTAAACTGCTGCCCCATTAGCAGTATAGCGATATTTAAAGGGATCTGTATAAGTATATAATGCACTCGTGTGCAGAATTAGGAAAATTTGCAAATTATATCTCTTTGTATGAAATGTATTGAACAAAAGGTACTATTATGCAAATATTCAGATTCTAATACATAGACGTATTAGAATCTGAATATAAAAACGTATACGCGTGTGTCTACGGAGCTGAAATTCTAAAGATTCTAAAGATTATGGATTCTAAGAAGATTCTAAAAATTTAATTCTAAAGATTGTGGAGGGGCTTTCGGCAATTTGAGTGTTCTTGCTACTATACAATATTCGCCGTGTTTCTTGCAAGAGTTAGAAAAATTTTATTAAGGTATCAGATAAAATGAGTAGCATATTGATGGCGAAAAGAGATAGGGAATTATCAGTAGATTGGAAGCAGGCCAATCACAAGCACAGGTGGCCACAAAGCTCAATGTAACACCCAGTGTCATCTGCAAATTACAAAAAACTGTTTTAAGACACTGGATCCATATCGAGATCATCCGAACAAAGTCAGCTAAGATCCATAACGACGAATGAGCGTCATTACTTGGGACTCTCAACACGGCGACACAGGACTGTTACAGCTTCACCACTGAAAGCTGAGTTTCACGGGCGTTTAGCATTTGTACCTGCTCCCAAGATAAGTCATTGAGAAATATTTTATCCATTAAACTCTGTGAGAGCATCCATACAAATCCCCGTGGGGAAGATGTAGAATGAAGTAACTTTAAGGGGTTCCATTTAGTATTTTAAAATGATTGTAACTGAGCAATGTGTGCCCTTGAGTGGAGAGAATTACAGTGGCCAATATAAATAATTGCTGCCTTGGTATTTGTGGATTTGAATGAAAGAAAGGAATTTGGTAAGCCAGTAAAATTGCAATTGTCGTAATGCTGATCTTGGAAAAGGCTTAGCCGAATT